TCAAATATGCTATGTTACCAATTGGGTGATGCTTCTTCGCATGTTCTGATTCGATTTTGCTCCTAAAAAGTCTTCGCCCCGTCTCAAACAGGACCGCAAACGGCTGTTTTTCCTCGAGATTCTGTTATGAGGCGTCGTTAACTCTTTGTTTGCATTTTAGGTAAAACACTTATCCGTTCATTGTGTTGAGATTTCTCTTTTTCCACATGGAATTCAATATAAATTATTAAAATACCATCAAATAAAACAAATTTTGTAAAATAATGCTTTATCAATTGCAAATGACATTTTTTATAACAATTTATCAAATATATCCTACGTAGAAACTCACAAGCATAGTTATGCTGTTAATGATAAAAAACAAGCAATTTATTGTAAGCCTTCTGAATTTGGAAGATGAGAGAAAGATTTATTTGTCAACTTGAACTAAAAAAATGTAATAAATGTAAATCAATGAGATGTTCAGAAGAATGCGTGTTTACAGTCACTTTTTGATACTTGGAGATCAGGAAATAAAATTATTGATGAATTCATTCATAACACAAATTATGGAATGAAAGAATTATTAAATTTGGATCACGAGAATTGGATGAGAAATTTTAAATGAGGTTAGCCTTGAATGAAATACATTATATTATTATTATTTAGATTTTTTTAAATCAATGGCTATTTATAGATATCGAATTATTGTAAAATACAATGGTTCATTGTCATGCTATAACACAGAAAATAATAACAACTATGAAATGGTTATAGCATGTGCTTTAGAAGGAAATCTAAAGAATTATTTACGAAAAAGTCATTTAAAAAAGATAAAAATTACAATGGTTATAATAATAATAATACATGAAACAAAAATTGATCCGTTGTGATTTACATAATGGTAATATACTAACGCAAGTAGGTTGGCTGTTTTATTACTGACTTAGGACTATGCAGATCAGTTGATGATGAATCTTCAAATAAAATGTATGGATTGTAATCAGAAGTTCTTCGAGGAAGCAAAAATTCAAAGAATCAGATGTTTATAGCGTTGGAATGATGCTCGCCATTTGACATGATTATGATCATATCATCATTTAATTTTAGATATTTGTAAGACCACGAATTTTACCCGGAATACCAAAAGAATATGTACAAATGACGAAGAAAATGTCGAGATGGTGATTCGTTTAAATGATTAAGGAACTGCTTGAATTTTCTCGTAATCATAAGAATTATAAACATGAAGGTTTAAATAGTGAAAACTGCACAAAAAATTTTAATAATAATAATAATAATACTCAATTAAAAAACAAAAAAATATCCACTGACATATCGCAGTGGCGAAATTGCTAGGCAAAAATACCTTGAACTCATCCAAGTATCCGAGGAAATCTCTGATGTTGATGTAAATTAAAGTTTTATTTACTTTAATTAATAAAATTAACATCAATAATAATGATAAAGGAAATGATATATAAACGATTGAAGTAACCGACCAAACTGACAAGTTTGATGGGAAAACATTAAGGTAATCTGTCACATATTGTTAATAGTTATTAATAAATAATTTTTACTGGTAAAATTTATTTTAATATAAATTAGTTGAGGTTGAGAATGGATGTTATTACAACCGAAGGTGACTGTTAATGTTATTATTTGAAATATTTTGCATTTGTTTTTCTGAATTGGTGATAAAATTTTTTTTTAGAATTTATGATATTAATGGATGATTAATTAATATATATTTTTATATTATTTATATATTTATTTGTTATCATTATCAATCAATATTTAGTTTATAACAAAACAATTTTCTTAATTACCCAAAGAAAATGTTTAGATTTTTGTGTTCGGTATAATGATTTATTGTATCTTTGGAGAAAACAAAAAAAAAATTCATACAGCTAGCTGTCTTATCACTTTTGGTAGCTGCTTGGCGGAATTCAGAATATGTTACTGACTATGCTTTTAATTTTAGGTGAGTGGTAACAAACAACTACAAAAAAGTGACATAACAGATTTACTGATTTCGACCTATGATAACAATAATCACATTTATAACGGATTCGTTGTTGATTGATGTTATCTAAATTGTTGGCATTAATCAAGTTGTCGAAGAAGAACTATCTTGATCAAAAAATGTTAATCTAGCATCAAACCGATGATAAACCAGTGCTTAAGAAATACAGATTTAAACAAATTTATGTAGTTTCTATAACAACATCTAGCGATTTCAGACTTTGTTTGTTTCCTAACAAATTGGAAAACCTCTAAGGTGTCTCTCCGATTTCGTCAACTTTGATCAATTATTGCAGACATTAACGCTTTATCATTTGTGGTTGGATAAACACAAGCATCATTCTTTTTAGAATTTGGAGGTAGATTATTGATATCTTTACATAACATTACTCTGGAAATTGTGTCCAATTGAAAAATTTTTGCACCATTACATTTTTCTATATATAATGCACAAAAAAAAACAAAAAAACTAAATTACTCACAATTTTTTGTGCATAAATGCACAATTTTTAAACAATTTTTGTGCAACATGCACAAAAATTGATCGGTGTTTGCTATTTTAAAATCCGTCATTTGATTTAGTATACATTTGAACCTTGCTATCAGGATATTCGGAGCCCAATGATTATTTTGAGAAAATCTAATCTGTCGCATTGTGTGGTCAATATTCTAAAGAGATATAGGAAGGTCTTAAAAGTCTCGGAGGATAATACTTTGAAATCGTCACACGAGCTTAGCTATGCGTGGTTCGGCAGGACTCATTTGTTGATATTATAAATATAATTTATTTAAAAATACATAATAATGATAATATAAATAATGATAATAACAATAAAGTAAAATAAAATAAAATAAAATAAAATAAAAAAAAATAAATCCTGACGTTTAGACTCAAGTCAGATTTTTTTTTCTAAAGTAAACATACTGTAAAAGAGAAAGTGAAAAAAAAATGTGTTCTTTGATGTCTGACCAAATCAGAACGTCACATTTTAGTGATTTTGATTTTTCAAATAATCTATTATTTGTTCCATTTCAAAATAATGTTGGTTCACCTTTAACATATAATCTTTAATCATCGACATATGGTGGGAAATATAAATAATTAAAGAGTCGTTGTTATATCTGATGGCATTATTATTAATATTTCCAGAATTCAACAAAGAAGTTCTATTATTAAAGTTTAAACCAGCACCGTTAAAATTAAGATTGGGATAGCTATTATTAAATGAAGATGTTGACAAATTGCTATTAGTGCAAAAAAGGTGCTGTGGTTGTGGTGACGAGAATGATAAAGGTTGTTGTTGTGGTATTATGTTATTATTAACATTATTATTATTGCCGTTTAAAAATGGTATATTGTTTGTTCCAGATTGATGATGAATTGCGGGAATTTGTTGTTGATTATTAATATTAGTGTGAGTGTGAGTTTGTTGTTGAGTTTGTTGTTGAAATTGTTGATTATACATTTTTATAGTTTTTTTATTAAAGATTTTTATTTTTATTTTTTATTTTGAAAAAAAAAAAAAAAAACTAATATATTTATACGTCAAAAAGCAATAAAAAAAAGACATTCGAATATCCAGATTTGTGTTCTTGTTTCCTGTTCCTTGTTACACGGCCAAAAGAAAATTAATACTCTTTTATTTTATTTTATTTTAAAAAAGAATTTGATTTTTTGATTTTTATCAAACCTTAATATTAATCAGTTTAAGGGTAGAGTATACGTAACACAAATTTTATTATGATACAGTGGATAATTTTTTGGCTGCCGATCATTAAAATATTAATGTAGTCATAATAACATTCATTTAATTTTTTTTTAAACAACAATTATTAATAAAGCCATGAAAAAAAATTCTAATTTCGGAATAATTTTTTTTTTTTTAATATAAAACTTTTTGAAAATCTTGCCGATTTTTTTCTTATTTGTGAAAGCCTTTTAAAACTCACTAACCAACTGTCATTCCAAAAAGGAAATCTCTTTCAGGCTGTTTTTTTTATATTTATAAATAATATTTATATTTAAATATTAATATAAATATTTAATATAAATATAAAAATTAACATTAATATTAATATGAAAATTTTAAAATTGATATCGAAACGGTCTTTGTTCCTCAACTTTATTAAACTGAATTTTTTGGGAAGCACAAGAGTAAAATCAAAAGGTAAAACATTGTAGCAAACAATTTTGCGGTGTTGACTGCGATTCTTCAAATGATTGACATCAAATATTCTTTGTACAATGATAAAAAGATCTAACCCACTATGAACTATCAGTGTAATAAAACTAAATTTAAATATCTAATAAAAAAAAATACCGAAAAAAAATTCTCACATTTTTTTCTATCGTTTTCCTCTTTTATTTTACATCTCTTAATTAAATACCTCTCAACAACTATATACAAATTTACTTGTAAACATGTGCATTACAGAAGTAATCAGTTACATTACAAATATCGAGGAAACACCTAAAAATGATTCTTTCTTAATGAAAAGTTATAGCTGAGCATGCGAAGCATGCCATGAATGATTACAATTTTTTTGTTATAAAAAAAAAATTTATTTTTAAACAAATTACAAAATTAATATTGGTGTATCAGTACACGGGCGACGAAGTCGCTAAAAATCAAAATCACTAGTTATAATAAAACAATCATACATGTTAGCCAAAATTAATTCTATTAGTAAATGATCATTGCCAAATTCAAAACACCAAAATGGCTTTTCATAAGGCTGAAATTAATTATGATAATTAATATAGAGAATACGGAAAAGCCAAAATATTTGGCAAATGCAAAAACAATTTTGGCTAACATGTATGGTGACAATATAAATATAATTAATAAAATTACAATTATTATTAATACATAGAATAAAAAATAAAGAATATTGATACAATAGAATATTTATAATTTGTTCATCATACTAATTATAAAATGTATAGATCCTAATTAATTATTAGAATACTATGTTGAATGTTCTGAGATACTATGTTAATCATTAACATCAACATCATTGTTAGGATCATTCCCCATAAATATCTCTTCAATAACATCAATTGGTGATTTACTATCAATATTAAGAAGAAAATTATTTGCTGCAAGTGATGAAGTTATTGGCGTTGTGTGATTTGCTTGTGCATAATAAGCAGATCTCTGCATTGTTCCAAAGAATTAATTAATTGATCATTTATTTCAATTATTAATTATTAATGATTTAAAAAACTATTTAAAGAACTTACCAGTGAAGATGTTGATTTAGATTTTGCTATATAGTGTGCTGTATTTAACCCAACTTTTAATTGAATAATATATTATAAGCAATAAATAAAATTACTTGAATAAAATCATTTTCAAAATAAATAAGTTTTACTTGATCTTTCATCATCTTGGTGTTCATTATGATCTGATATCATTCCAGCAATACCATTAAATATTTGAGTTTTCTTTAATGGAGGTCTGAAATAAAATAAATTCTCTTAGGAAAAGAAAATAATGATAACAATAATGATAATAATTAATAAATAATAAGTACACTTTATAGTGAAGTTCCCCATAAGTTTTCTTCATATTAATTGATAACTAAAATAATAATAATAATAACAATATGAGTAAATTCTTTTTAAATAAATAAATAAATAATTAAATTTTTAAAATATTTATTTACCTTTAATGTAGAATTAACCTTACTTTCACGTAATAAAAAGTGCCTAGTTATTATGGTGGACCCAACATATTCAGAAAGATTGATTTTTAATCTTCCAATATTACTAATTTCTTTGCCACCATTTAACTCCTAATTATTTAAACTCAGTCAGCAATAAAACCACCATAATTATAATTATAATCATAATTATAAATTTTTTCTCAAATCACCTGTTTTATTGATAGATGCAACTCACAAGGTAATAAAAAATTATCTTTACCTATAACAAGTTGTACTGAATCCTGTATTTTATGCTGCCAGCGCACTGAATGATCTTTAACGGGTGCCCTAAAATAATAATAGCAATAATGAAAAAATTATTATATTATCATCATTATCATCACCTATTATTATTATTACCTATTATTATTATTACCTATTAGTCTTACTATTTGCATTTACTCCTCTATGCTTGAATTTCCATTTTACATAATAAAGTCCTGCTATTGAAGGAACGTTTAAAAGTTCTTCTATTGTTATTTCAATATCAAAATTTGCTTTGCGATTTTTTGGAATAAATAATAACGGTAAAGGCATTTTTTTGTATACACATTTTTTTGCTAATATTTTATACTTTAATATTAATAATTATTAATCGGCCCGTCCATATTTGATTGATTAGGGGTTATGGGACTGATTAAAAAAGGGAATGACTTTTATATTGTGTTTATATTTTGCTTACAATTCTGGCGGAAATTGGTCATTAATTTTCATTTTTATGATATATATAAATTGTGATACAACAGGGTGATCTGCAACATGTAGTAAAATTTCTTATCAAACTCCAATTTTCAGCCCGTATGCATTTATTTAATTTAATAAATTGGTGAGACCCTCTTTTGTTTCATTTAATGATATGGTGAGTAGATTAGGGAAAAGACTGGAAAATATAATATATACGTGTTTAGAAATGAGGCTAAAAATACTACTATTATTATTATACACAGTTCTATAATAAACCTTAATATTAATATTAACAAAAACTTTCTCGGTATAGCGGATATCTCGATTTAACGGATTTTTGGAAAATTTCAAACTCCGATTCACCGTGTAGTTGGCTTGGTCTAAAATTTTGTGCGAATTTTAAAAATATATAAGTCATTTTCTGTCCTACCTTTTAAAAAAATAGCTCTATTAGTTGATAGAATAGGCCTTTAATTTTAATGTAATAGGGAGATTTTCTCAATATTTTTTTGTTGTAGAGTTCTATTCTTTTTTTAAAACTGAATTTGAGCGTTAGGATCATTGCTAAGTTTAGACTAGCTTTAGATCATCATTACTAAATTTGGCAGGAAGAAAATAATTTTTTTAATTAATTGCATTTTTGAACGGAATCATGAAATCGCAATTTTTGAAATTTGAGAGCGTGGCGCAGCAATTGGAGGTCTTTAGACCGAGCCAACCATATTACTATTACGTAAAATGCAGTTTTTCCGATATTTTCCAGATAGAAAGAAATCTCCAATGAAAACAAAACTTCAATATTTTTTATAGGTAAAGGAGTTTAATGGTACACATTTCTTTTCCTGCTTAAATTATTGTTATCAAAAAAAAAAAAGAAAAATTAAAATTTGTTTTGACTTTCGTATAATAATAATTAATAGTAATAGTAATTTTTGAATACTCTTCGTGTCGCTATTTCTTGTCAAAACTCGTAATTTTGTTTTTCTTATTCTGGCATATTAGAGCCGTACGACAAGGTTTAATTCTCTATAACTTGCAAAGAAGAGAAGAGGGAGGAGAGAGCATAGTTCATTTATATAGGTGATTTTTTATAAGTTTGTGATCTGTGAAAACCTGTTTACTTTTTTTTTTCCATAACCACGAATTAATTTAAATTTAAGTAAATAATTAACACGTATTAGAAATGACAGAATTTCACATATGTCTAATTAATTAATTATTAATTAACGCGAAGAAATTTGTTATTGGCCATGTAATGATCTCCTTCCAAAATCCGTAAGGTGTTTATTTCTTAATAATTTATGAGTGAGCGAGTGAGCTAGTAGGAAAAAAAACTTTTATTTGAAAATCGATCTACGTAATTTTATTTTAATTGCAAAAAAAATAAATATTGTGGAAGATGGTATTTTATTTTTAAAAACCAATGTCTTTATTGGTTGCTAAATAGAAATGAAAAAAAGAATAAAAAAATTATTCAGCATCACCTTCATCATTGCCTCTATTTCGTTCTCATTGTTAATATTTTCTACTGCATCTGTACGAAACAATTGCGCTCATTGCATTTGCCAGTTCTTATATATATATATTATAAACTTGTGATCTATGAAAACCTGCTTACTTTTCTTCCACATTCACACACGAATTAATTATAAATTTAATAAATAAATGATGTCTAATTATTATCATTATTATTATTATTATCGTTATTATTATGTACACTCATCAAAAAATCACTGGATAAGAAAAACCAAAAATTACAATGTTTTTAACATGGCTATGGCAGGAAAATAAAGAAATATTATGCTAAACTGATATAATGTATCTTGTCGGTATAGCATGTTGGGGAAATCCGTAATAATAATACGATTGGCTGAATAGGTTAATATACAATAATAAACGATTGAGTCGTGTATTTTATAATATTGCGACACCAAAGAGTATCATCAATTTGAAAATTTGGAACTTGGCACAGCATTCGATCTCTTGCACTATTAATCGAGTTTTCGAGTGTACACCTTCTGCAGAATTCAGAAGCACAAACGAAAATATCAATGCCTCGCTTTTGCTTTCTCATTTGTAAACTTGTTACTATCACATAGTTCATTCTCTCTATAACGAACTATTTGACTTAGTATTAGGAAAAATGACTGTTATACATATGTAAACTCGATAAGTCGGTCATGTGGGGGTGAGCTCATATGACCGACTTATCGAATTAAAATTAAGAAAATGGGTGAAAATTTTGGCGAGACCGACTTATCGAGTTTACATATGTAGGGAGAACGTTATAGACAGTATTAATTTATATGTTAATATAGGACATATAAATTGGGCTTAAATTCTCAGTCTGTTATGGAACAAGATCCATTATTATTATTATCATTATAAAAGATCCACTTGGTTGTTATTGTCCTCTTCACCCTGTTCATGCGCAAACTTATTTGATTTTTTTCTCAAGACGTTTGATTTGTTGATTAGCATTATTAAATCAATAATACTGGGAGATAGTAAACAAGTTTAATCGAAAAAGTGATAATTCTTCATTTATCAAAGAAATTAAATAGTTTTATTAATCGAAAAAGTAATAGTGTTCATTATTATTGTTTGCTAAGATCTCTTCATTAATTGATCAAAAAGGTAATAGTTCTTAAATATAACGATTTTATCTCGGTATAATAGATAAAGATAATAATGCATTTTTTGTCTACAAAAAAAAGGATATATATTGATTTTTTCTTATAATTGGTTTCAGCATGAAAAAGATAGCAAAGAAAATCAAGTACAAGTTAAAAGACTAGCAAGAGAAAAAGCGGAAGGTTATCAGGTGTCATTGAAAGCAGAAAAGTAAAAATACATTAACATCTCTCGAAAATAGAAAATTCCTTCCCAAAAATCAAGTTTAACAAAAGTACAACATCTCATCGACATTAACATCAATATCAACATGCCATGTTGACTTATCTCCTCCCTTCCCGGAATGATCTTTATCAGAACACAACCAACTTCGTGAAACTGCATATTTTTTCCAAAAATATTTACCGCAGTCATGGCTAAACGAGAATGAGTATCAAGCAGTAGGTTGAATATGTAAGCATTTTACTTTTCAATCCACTTATTAACATTAAAGCAAGTGTATGGATAGCTCCACAAGCTAAAACAATTTCTTTTTGCTTTAACTTGAATTTATATCGTTGTTTGATAATAATTGCCTCTACTCCACAGCTTTATGCACAATCTTCAAGGCGCTTTGCTTCTTAATTCTTTGCATCCAGTAACCAAGTTATCACTGCGCTTTGTTTCTCGTCATATTTACATCCAAATTCACACCAACCACATGAATGAAATCTTGACGCGGTACATTGAGGTATTGTATCAACTTGTTGTTTACTTTTATTATGAACTATATTATTAGTTGACATACCTAATTTACCACTTATTGCTTTTATCGAATCTTTCTCTAATTTATAATTTATTTTAATCCATTCTTCACGAACACAATGTTGTGGCTATATATATATATATATATAATATATATTATTATTAAATTTTTCCTTCCCTCCTCAAAAAATCAAAAATCAAAAAAATGGATACCACCACCAAAATTAGAACCAGCACACCACCATCTTCTGACCACCCATTTCATATAGATCTTCATAAAAATCAAAGTCAACTCACTCTGTGACACTATAACCCTCTCTTTTGCCAATTGTGCAGCAATAACACTACCTCAATAAAACGGACGAATTTGTTATTAATGAAAAATTTGATGTTCAATATTATCGTGTCAAGATCAACTTGATCCAATTGAAAGAAACGGTTGTTTATCTATTTATATATATTAATATTACAATGAGATGATTTGTTTTTCCTTCATTATCAAAATAAATTAATAATAATATTATTATGCTCCCTGCTGTTTCTGCAAAGTGCAAAGCTTTATATATTGAAAGAAACTAAAGATACAACAGAATGTGTATTTCTTGATCCTCAATATCAAATCACTAATTCACAATGAAACTATTACTGAATTATTAGGACGTTGAAATTTAAAGTTATGGTAAACAAAATAAAATATATAGCAATGATAATTATTTAATTATTTTAATAACATTTTTTAAATTAATTAATTATATACAGTATATATATATATTGATTGATGTAGGTTTCTGATATTAAGAAAAGAGTTGAATCATTGAGTATTTGGAAAGAGATCCTGATGATTCATCTATAGTTAGATGCTTAGTTGTAAATAGGGATATCTAATTGGCGAGCAATTGCTTGGGCGTCATTTCAGTCTTGAGTTTGGGAACAAATGTTTTAGTTTCTATTAACAATTACAATGACCAAAAGATAATCAATTACTGCTGTTGCTACTGCTACTGCTAAATAATAACAATAATGGGTATTTTTTAAAAAAAAATTTATATAATGGTAATAATACCAATTAGAATTGTTCCTTTTTTATGTATTTTTAAAAAAATCAAGATATATTAAATTTATTTATTAATTAGCAAGTCCAGACAACAACATACATACACATTTATAAAGATGAAAATAGTGATTTATAATTTAGTATATTATACTAATCATAATAAAAGAAATAGTAAAATATATAATTTAAATAAAATAAAAAACAATCCAAACATGTCATGTATACAAGAAAATTCTATCAAGTTTTTTTACCTAAACAAAAGAAACAGAATATGTTTGTACTTGTATCAAGATTTTTAAATCCATTGCTAATATCTCCTATTTGTATTTAATAATGATTTATTGGTATAAATTAATTTTTTTCTTGATCTATTGTTATTATTATTGCTATCAAGATTATTATCAGTGTGTTCAAGTTTTCTTTTATTATTCTCATCTTTATTTTTATTGAAAACCATCAATGGCTGTTGATGGTAGTGATATGTATTTAAAGATTTAGTAGTGAAGAGTAATTTTCTTGCTGAATCATAATTATTACCAATCTTATCGGCGTATGTGATAGGATCAGGAATTTTTGAAGGTGATATTCCAATTGAAGATTTAAATTCTGTCTCTTCAGTAATTAAAGGGACATTTTCTGAAAGTAAATCAACCATAAGTTTCGAAGTTAGCGTTGTATCTTCCATTTGTTTTTAATCTTTACTTGATATTTTTATTTTTATTTTTATTGTTATTGTTATTGTTATTGTTATTAGTAGTAGTAATAGCAATCAAATCGTTTTATTATTTATTTTAGGTGAAAATATCGTGAAATAAATTTTAACAACAAAAATTGTTGATCTAAAAGACATCACGTGCAGATTTACTTTTGTCACGAGAAACTTTGGTAAATCGTGAAAACATTCTGTAAATCGCGGTCTAGGTAGTTGCTAAAAATTTCATATATAGTTACTCAACTGTAACTTTTTTTATAATTCAAAAAAAAAAACTATTGCATATTTTTTTTAGATCTATTGTAAAAAATAGTAATAGGGAAATAGCCAGCTTATTTACTTATTACTATTAACCATATGCCGATCCCTGAATATGTCATCGTCGTCATCTTTTAGATAAATCAAAACGTTCGGCTTGCTTATAAAGCTGTTGATGATGTATTATATCAAAAGTAAAATTTATTGGAATAGGTTCAACAATGATTTATATTGTTGAACGTATATCACAACGTTCTAAAGAACTAAATAATCAGCGTGTCTTCATCTCAACTATCTTTCAAAGTAGACAACTAATTATTGAAAATGGTTTGAATTTAGGTGATATCGATCAATTAGGTTTTATTTGTTCGATTAATTTGGTTTATTTTTATTTAAAAAAAATAAATAAAATTTTGAATTGTTATTTTTTTAGCAAATGCGTAGATATTCGGTCATAAGTGATAATAATGGAAATTTTATAGTCGATGCCTATTTTGGGTTATATCAAATGACAGGTTAGATTGTTTCTTAATATGGCTTATTTTGGTAACGAAAATGGAAATGTTCTGGGAACAAAAAGAATTGATGTGGTAATTTCCTCGCTAAGAATACAACAATGTTATTGATAATGGGATATGCTGCGACGAGCGAAAATTTTTGTTTCTTTTTTAATGATTCAACATTTTCTGTACAAGATGTTTGGGAGTAATTTCTCTCTTGCTTTTTCAACTCTAATCTCTCTATCTGTCTCTTGTTGAATTATTTATTGCCGTTTCTTTTCTAAACATCATTTATATACTTAATATGTTCATATCTAAATTTTTGATTCCAAGTCATACATTAAAGAAAGCATCAATCAAGAATAATTTTCTTTGTCAAATACCCTATTGTTATTATTGTCACGATCTCCACAATAAAGAGTACATACAATCTTTGTTTGATTTGCCTGATCTGCTTGAATTGTTACTTGCCTTTAATTTTTCAATAAAAATAAATGACATGATGAAAATAGTACCTTTTTTAAATCCATTATCTCTAGTTTTAGTTGGTGGTTTTATCACTAATACGTAAATAAATTAATAAAATCTACTGGTTAATTGATGATCCTTTAAAATCAGCAGAACTCTCTCTCTCTATCATTAAAAATTTTTGCAATTGAGTGGAACAATAACAGTAACCAAAACAAAAAACTCATTTTATTCTGGATACCACAAGACCGACCAAAATATAAACATGGTTCAATTTTGGGCAAGTTGGTTTGTAGGACCAAATACAGATTCATCTCGTGTTAATATATTGATAAAGGTGAAGATCTACTGATTAACTGAAGGAGATTGATTATCGTTAATGGCAATACAGAAAAAACGATAAAAGTAAGTTGGCAGATACCAAAAATAAAAATAGAGATGCGACTATGGATTGACTTCTATGTTTTGGTAAAGTTGAATTTTGGTTAGGGATTCCTATTCGTCGGCTGTGTTGTGTGTGGCTAGAGAAAATTGATTATGTTCAAATTTGATTGGATAACAAATGGAAAATTTTATGTTAGATATTCACAATATTACTATTATTATATACAGAAGAAAAGAATTTTTTATTGTTTTAAATCGTTTATCAACTATTTTGGTATAATTAATGTGTTTGTTTGTTATATTATTTTTTTTAACAAAAAATAGTTACCATTTTAATATGACCGACTGATACTGTTAATAAAAATTTTTTCACTAATTTTAAAATGTTTAAAAATTCTTTAATTTTGATATTTTTAATAATAATAATAATAAATTCCAATTTTTTAGCATCAGTTTACGGTCGTCGTCATCGTCATCATCATCATCATCATCACACTAATGTTAGATCATTATCCATATCTAGAACTACTATATCAAAATTAGTTACAACGTCAACCAATACAGTTCAATTATCAACTTTAACAGAAACTGATGGTACATCACCATTATCAACTACAATTGTACCAACAACAAAACCAATAGAGACTAATTATCCACCATCATCTTCACCAAGTTTAGATACACCACCAACACCACCAGCAACAGAACCAGGTTCATCGCCGTCATCACCACAAACATCAAGTTTAGATATACCACCAACACCATCAACAACAGAACCAGGTTCATCGCCGTCATCAACACCAACACCAGATTCATCACCGTCATCGTCACTTGCACCAACTTCACCATCACCAACAACATCTCCCACTTCTACATCACCAAATTTCCAAACATATATTAAATATGATGAAAAAATTGAAGGATTACGTGTCTTTTCAACTACAAATTTTCCTAACGGGACAATAATAATGCGACTAGTCAAGCCATTATCAGTTGAAAATGTCCAATGCTTCGAACCAATGATTTACTTGCGCATTATTTACAATCAAAATAATATAATAGAAGTTCCTCCAATTGAAAACATACCAGGATTTAATTTTTGTTTATATGGAAAAAAATTAGGAGAAAAACCAAATGATTTTTTATTTGATCAACAGCACCAATTTGATTTGATTAGGGTTTATCCTTTAACTAATAAATTTCTGTTTATAGTGTGGTTAAATGATAAAAATGCAGCAAGTAATGATTATGAGGAAGTTGGATCTATTTATGATCTTAATGGAAAGCTATTCAAGTAAGCATTTATAACCATACTATATATATACTTTGAGAGAAAAAAGAGAAAGCTAGAGAATGTTTATCTTTTTTTAATTCATTAGAAAATATTATTAATTTATTTCTTTGCAAATACTTTCTATATTTAAGCAAATATTCATTATCAAGGATTAAATTTTCAGATATTGATACTTCATCAGTAGGACATTGTATAATAAATGCTAATCCCGATTTAGGATTTTTGTGGGTTAATCGTATTGCAGATGATGTGCTTCAATTGACAAAATATTCTTCACCGTAACTATTATTTATAATCATTATAACCATTTTTTTAAATAAATAAGAAGATTAATGTTTCATTGTATTTATATTCAGAGATTTAGATGGGAACTTGTTTAAACTTGAGAATCAATTTAATTTAAGTGTTACAGCAAATCATTTCTTAAAGATATTTCATACATCAGATAATGGTTATGGTATAGTTTCAGCAGGTCCTGCAACATTGGATGCAGTCACAAAATTTAATAATACACAACCATCATCAGAATTGGTTTATCCACAATACATAATAACAACAAGATTTATCAGAGCAGAAAGTTCAATACCAACTGAAACCTCGGTAATATATTCAACAGTTGCACCAATTTATTCATTAAGCATAGAGTTATGTGTAGATGAATTAATTAAACCTGGTATTTATTGTATAGTCAAAATAATCACAGATAAATCAGACACAGCCTTAACTTATTATTTGAAAATTTTTTTTTTATCAAATGGAAGCACAAAAAATGTCACTGAATTATCATATAACACGCAAGAATATGACATTGAATACATATTTAGACTATATTATGGGGGAAATTTGATATGTGCTTACCATAAAGATAGTGATAATATTGGAGGTGGTACAAATGATGATACTTATTATTATATGTTTGTTTATAATGATGATGGCATTTTCAATCAAACAATTGATCTTCCAATTAAATTAAAAAATAGTGAAAGAATTTCATTTGGGTTATTTCCTAATGATACAGCTTGGATATTTACTGATAATAAAAATGATAATAATTGGTCATTGCTGACATTTAATACAGTGAATATAACTTCTCAAGGTAAATTGATTAAATAACTAAATTATTAAAGATTTAAACAATAATAATAATAATCTTTTTTATTAAATTCCTCAATTAAGGCAACGATCACAATAGTATGAATAATTTAATGATTAATACTACAATTCCTTTGGTTGATTCCACAATAAGTGTGGGAAGTACAAACCTTAGTATATCATATTATAATCCTATTATTTTATCAAATGGAAACATTTCTATTTATCAAACAAATTTAGAAAATAGATATAATATAAGTGAAGATATATTAAGACAAACATTCAGTGCAAAATCACAATATTGTACACTGAGTAACGATGATAAGACAATATCTTTCAAAGTGTTGGATAGTAGTTTTGGTTTTCCTAATACTGGATATTACGTTGTTATTGATAATGGTTTTGTTAAAGATATTGCATATGAAGAAAGTTTATTGGGTATTCAAGAAAATATTTGGAAATTTCGTACAAGTAAGGCCTATATATCATCATCATCATTGTTATCATTGTTATTTAATTTTCTAATATTAGTTATGATTATGATTATGATTAGATTCCACGTTTGAATCTCCTGGAGGTAAATAATTAATAATCAGTATTATGAAATATTTATTATTTATTTATTTATTAAAATGATCACTTTATAAAAATACTAATTAATTAATAATTAACAAAATATTTTATACAGAGAAAGAATCAGCATTGGTGCGTCTAACACTGAATGGATCATCGTATTATTCTAATTTATTAAAGAGTGAACAGTATGATTTTTTATATAATTTACGTGGTGAAATGGCAAAATCTATTCCAGTAGAACCTGAAATAATTGGTATAGTCGATAGATATCAATGGGACCCTGATATACCAAAACAATTGCTATTAAAGTTCGATGTGTTTGCAGACGATAATAATAATAAAAGTGTTATAGGGATAATAAAAATATTAGACACATTAATTAGGAATATGGATATTACATCAATATCACAATTTAAGTATACAGGATCGTTAGATGCAAGTTATGGATTTGTATTAAAACGTAAAGTTTTTATTTAATACTTTATATATTTATATTTAAATTTACGCATTTAAATTAATTAATCTTAATTTTACGTAACCAATAATAACCTAATAGGTAGTGTATGGGACAAATATGGGTTAAAATTGCTTGCAATTGGCGGAACATTATTATTCTTGGGTATTTTGGCTTTGTTTGCATATAGAAAACACGAAGATGTAAGTTGAAACAAAACTAAATTTTTAATTATTAAATAATTACATTTATTTATTTATTATTTATTTATGTTATTGCTTGATTTTTTTTGTTTTTATTATATATAGGGTAATAGTTTTGTAACATTTAAAGTATTATTGATAAATTTGGATTTCGTGATAGATCTTGCTTTCGTATCCACTCATTCAAGGGATATATTTCTCTTGTTTTATTTCAGGTAAAAAACAATCACTTTACATAAAATTATAAATAATATCACGCGCAAAAATTTATATATTATTTCTTTCATCTCCAAATAATAGTTTATTTACATTTATAATACCATTAGTCTTTAATATGCTGATGGTATTTTATATTATCATAAAAGAACTATCCAATAATCAGCCATTTTATGGTTGGTACAGAAAATATCATAATGTTGCTGCAATATTCACGTTTCTTGCTGCAATAGATGTAGAATCTTTATCAATGATTGATAGTAAATTGGGTGAATTGGATGCATTTGATGCTCCTATCTCTAACGGGATGGAATCATGGATTAAATGGATAAATGCAATCAATTTTTTTATTGAAGACACCCCTCATTTAATCATTCAGGTAAATACCAATGCTACACAATAAATTAATTATTAATCAATTAATTATTAATCAACATTTTTAATTAATTTTAAATAGATGGTTTATATAAATCTTTCAGTAAATTACGAAATAATTCCATTTTTAAATTTATTATCATCCTCATTAATAGTTGCGTGTATAATACTAAACCATTTATTTAGATGGTTGAGTGAGTTTTTAACGAGTGACGAATATTCTACATCAACCTCTTCGTTTAATGGTAGTGGTAGTGGTAGTGGTGCTGGCCTTATTAACCATAGTAGACCAATGTCTGAAGTAATGACTGTTGAATATGTTTTAACACCACCCGAGGATATTATTATGCCAGCAACAATCAGAACACCAGCATTATGGGCAATTGGAGACAACAGTAGTAGTACACATGATGCATTTAATAATTTTGTAGCTACTAATAACAATATGAATAGATCAAATTATCAAAGAATTAAAAGAACATATGATCCAAATAATATTGCTATTGGAGAGGATAATGGTGTCGGTGTCGGTAATTCTGGTTATACTGTAATCAACTCACCGTTAAGTCAACATGGTGATGGTAATGAAGAACATTATGTTGATGTTGATGATCATGATGTTGATGATGATCATGATGTTGATGATGATCATGATGTTGATGATGATATTGATGATGATGATAATGTTATAAGCGAAAGTACCAATTTGGTTGATGTAAATAGTGATGATGATGATGATGATAATGATGATGATTATGATGATGATGATGTTGTTGACAATGTTATAAATGAAGGTACCAATTTGGTTGATGTAAATAGTGATGATGATAATAATGATGATGATAATGATGATAATGATAATGATGATGGTGGTGGTGATGATGATGATGATGATGATGATAATGATGATGATGATAATGATGATGATGTTGACAATGTTACAAATGAAAGCACCAATTTGGTTGATGTAAATAATAATAATGATGATGATGATGATGATGATGATGATGATATAATGAGTATTGTTAGAAGCTAATAGAGATTGGTGGGCAATTTTGTGGAAAATAGATTGTATATTTATTTATTTATTCATTTATTTATTTATGTATTTATTTATTTATATTTTTGTACAATATAATCATGTCTTGCCAGAGTGTTTATTGTTCATAATTTTTAACTATTCAATATTCTCCATTTAAATAATCGGAGTAATAAATCCAAAAGTATAAGTTCATGTTATGCCTGCCCTTCTTTTACTTTGGATTTCAACTTATTTGGCTTAATTTATTTGACTTCTGATTAGTTTGGTTGGGCTACCGTTTTACCTTTTCTTCTGTTAATCCTTGGATAGTTTGGCCATTTCAATTTCTTGCTTCTCTCTCTAACTTTAATTTTACTTTTAATTCCTGAATTGTGTCTTCACTTTGGAGGTTATTTTCCCTATTTAAATATTTTCCAATTCGGTGATGTCATTCTTTGATATCCCTACCTTGTTCTGGCTTTCATCGTTTTGCTGACTATTCTTGCTTTTTAATTTGTTGATTTCATTCTAGATTGCTTTTTTCTTTAAACTTTTCATTTGGTTTTCTTAATGATTTCAGTCAATTTGATGATTCTTAACTTTCATTCATTGGTTAATGATACAATCAACAGAAAAAATAATTCTTTTTTCCTTTGGCTTGGTTAATAGTTACTTTCTATTAGGTCTTTTAAAGATATTAAGATGTATATATGATTTTAGATCCGAGTGGGACTTTTGTGGCAAATATTGAGTCAAAAAAATGTGCACGTGTATAAAATAAAGAAATCACAAAATTATCTTTATTTTGAATGGCCAACAAAAAGGTATTAGAGTTCTGAACGGGTTGTGTTTTTGTTTTTCGGGTCGTGTCATGAATTTGATTTTATTTGTGAACCCGAGAATTCACAGAATATTAATATGAATAAAAATATGCAAGTTGAACAGTGCTGATATGCTTTACAATTTTACATTGTCATGAGTTGTCATTTCTGGCTGGAGGAGGCGGGTCTGGCACTAATGGAGGGGGTCAATATAATTAGACTCCACCACCAAATAATAATAATCAAAATACTCAGACTCCCGCCACCAAATAATAATAATCAAAATACCAGACTCCCGCCACCAAATAATAATAATCAAAATAATCAGACTCCATCGCCAAATAATAATAATCAAAATAATCAGACTCCGCCACCAAATAATAGTAATCCAAAATAATCAGACTCCGCCAACACCACCACCACCGCCAAATAATAACAACCCCCATTTGGTCAATGTAAATGCATTACTTCAATTGATCCAAGCGACCCAACAGCAAAACCAGGGCGGAGGATTAAGGGAACAAAGACGGGACTGGAGAAGATCCCTATCAGTGGTGGAAATATTTCAATGATGCATGTAATGCAAATAATATTGGCCAGGAAAGAAGGTTACAGATAGAATGTCTGGTGGAAGATGGCAAATAAATATGTCCATAGATGGGAAGTTACAACCAACCCGGTGTACGAACCTGTTAGTTTTAAAAGACAATTTTTTGATTATTTCTGTACTCAATTCCATAAACAAAACTGGATGGAACAACAAAGAAGCAGAGAACAATTGGTTGACGAAGATGTTGATGCCTATGCAGGAGCCTTAACTGACTTGCATTAAAAGGTAGGCCCATTAGAAAGATATCTGGAAGAGGATAGAGTGCAACAGTTTCTAAAAGGATCGAAACCTGCTGTACGAACGCTTACTGAACTAAACACTCTAAATAACCGGAATGAAACCTGGCAACAAGCAAAGAAGGTGGGAAATGCCTTAAAAAGAGGAACGAGAGGTAACCCACTCCTACAACCAGCAATTGTAAACCAAGTGCTAGTAAATCAAATGGAAAAAATGGAAGAAATTATCCAAGTGCTAACAACAGAGGTAAAAGAGAATAAGGAAATCTGTACCAAATGCAACCGGAGAGGTCATGCAGCTAAGGATTGCTATACCCAGAATCCTAAATCAAATATTTTGCCTAAGACACCTTGTCCTAACTGTGGAAAGAAGGGACATTGGGCAAAAGATTGTTACGCACAGAAACAATGTGGAAATTATGAAGGCAAGAGACACCTGACCAAAGACTCCAAAAAGGGACTAAAATGTTATACTTGTGGAACTTTTGGACATATGTCCTGAGAATTTTCTAAAAATTCATATAAGGGAAACCAAGATAGAAAAAATATAAATAATACACAGAATTATAGCAGACATCCTAGAAAACAAATTGCATACATCTCTCAGGAAGAAGAAACTCTCAACACTCTAGCAGCTACTGTTTGGGAGTTGGTCAAGTAAGTCGAAAATTTAAAAGTTTAAAAGTACATCCATCCAATGGGGGTGGAAGTGCTGGAAATACTCATGAATACCCCCAAACAGTGCCAGATTGTAGAGCTCCGAACGAGTCGGGTCAGTGGTTCAACCCGACCCGACTCGAACTTTTAAACAGTTGACCCGACCCGTCGGGTCAACGGGTCACAGATTAAGAAAATTACAAATGTAGATATATTAAACACTCTCTTCAGATTCTAAAAAGGTGCTTTCTCTGTCTAAAATAATTACTTTATCATCATTGTAATTGTCAATCTCAATTCTTCTTTTTGACATTATTAATTAATTTAATTAATTTATGCCTATGCTGTGGGGGTTTTTTTTAATTGAAAATAATATATTAATGAATGAGATAATAATAATGAAATAGTGTTACCGGAATTAGATTTTGACGCAGATCTTTTGGTCGAATCTTTTGATTCCGGGACAATTTAAATTTTATTTCTATTTTTATTTTTATTTTTATTATTATTTATCAATAACGTGTATAATTATTTATTATCATTTGAATTCGTATTTAATTATTATTATTATTAATCAATCCGTAGCACATTCATATTTATTTAACTTTATTTAGTAGAGATTAGTGACGATTCTTCAAAACGGGCGGATTCGCCCAGGTACAAAGTGAGCGAATTCGCGCAATCTGAGTGAAAATGCACAATTTGAGAGGATTCGCGCAATTCGGGCTAATATGTAAAGAACATGTATATAAAGAACTTGATTTCGACCTAATGTAAAAGCAACTTTGTTACAAGTTAATTAGTTTCGACTAAATAAAACTAAATAAATAAAATAGAAATATTTTATTTAAAACTTTTATCTTCTTTAACCAAAATTATTCGCTAATAACAAAATCAATTCGTTGGTCCCCTATTTATTCTGATCCACACAAAACAAAAATAATTATTATCACCAATTAAAATACATTCTCCCGAATTTAATCGATGACAATAGTAATAATAATAATGAAATAATAATAATAATGATAATGATAACAAAATAGCAATAATAATTAAATAATAAAAAAATAAGGTTTTCACTGATTACCAAATAATTTTTCCATAACCATAAATAACGTAATTTATTATTATTTTTATTTTACATAAACACTTGCATCAATTATTGATTTTTTTTATGTCAAAATTGTTATTTTGCCATTTATTTTTATTCATTTATTAGTATCTATACTAGTTTCAAAAATAATTTTGAACTTTTAAAGGCAATTATAACATGATGTTGACCCGGGTCAAACCCGGGTCAATTAAATCATGACCCGACCCGACTTGTTCGGGTCAACCCGACCCGTTTCGGAGCTCTAGGCTTACCAGTTATTTGGCATGTTATAAATGTAACTTTAAATATTTTTTGGGCAATTTCTCTCAAAATCCGAACTGAGTGCTTGTCTTGTAGGACTTTCAAAAGGTTATCAGACGCCAACTTAATTTCCTTGAGAATCAGTTTGTGACTTCTTTATTGAGTTGGGTAGATTCGGTTTTTGACCTTCAGCAAAACAGACAGAAAAACGTATTTAGGTGTTACAAAATAAACAGTACCATCTGGCTTTGTTCTACCGACTTCACCATTCTCTTTTATATGGTTGAGTTGTTCTACAGCAGTACTTGAGGTGACATAAGTAGATATAATATTTTTTTTTAGAAAAAATTAAAAGAGAGACAGGACCAAAAATTAAACTATGATCACTTACTTTTCATATGCTAGGTTATTAATACGATTAATAATTTGCTTCAAAAACATTTCAACGAAATTTATCCAAGTGGCTTTGGAACATATCAACTGGGAATTCATCATAGTTTTTTGGTAATGTTTCACAGAAAGTTGTCTATGAAAAAAAACCAATTTATTTACTGTATTGCAATAACCAATAGAAATATGAACACAACAACTTACATATTAGATGCAATTTCGACCACCAAGTATCCATCTTTATCTATTAGAAACTCTGGTCTTTTGAAATTGCAGAGGGAGGTAAAATTGTCTCGTTTATATAATCCAAGAAACCATTTTGCCATGTTTGTTGATGATGGATGGATGAGATTTTTAAATTGATATTCATTATATCAGCAAAACTTTCTGGATCTTTGTTGTATAGTAATGGATGAGGCAAATTGGCAAGAAGATGTCCAGAACGTATAGGATCATGTTGTGGCACAAAGCTTAGGTCATGCTGGAGGATGAGATTGATTATAGGATCATTATTGACCTTTAGTTGTTAATTAGAGTTAGATTCGACCTATGTTGTGAAAAGTACATTGCTACCTCATCTTTAAAGCCTGCAAGGTTGAAATTTTCATTTGTTTGATCTTGAGGATTTGGGTTGATTATGCTTGGTATGTTTGGAGAGATTTTCCTAAAATGAATAGGATAGAAAGGTAAAAGATGAGATACAACTTCTCAAACAATCTGCATTATTCAAGAGGGTCTGGGACACTTTACTGACACCCACTTTACCAACAGGACACTTTACCGACACCCACTTTACCAACAAGACACTTTACCAACAGGACACTTCACCAACAGGACACTCCACCAACAGGACACTTCACCAACAGGACACTTCACCAACAGGACATTTTACCGACAGGACACTTTACTGACAAGACACTTTACCGACAGGACACTTTACCGACAATCTAAGTAAAGTCGAACTTGACATAGAAATGATCTTGCAAGGAGCACCATGACCCCCACAGAAACCACAAGATTGTAATTGTGAAATACAGATTCAAACAGTATTAAATGACTGTAACATTAGATCAACTATAAAGTTTCTTCGGGGCATTGCCCATAATATTTCATTTTGAAAAATAATTTTTTTGTTATTTTTTAAAAAATTTTTTTGTGTGTCACAATAAAAGTTTTTGTAATAATAAATGATTGATAAATAAATTTAATAAAAAATAAAAAAATAACATGAATATGCAATTTTTATCAATTTTTATCAATTTCGTCAGACAAAAAAAAATATTACACATGTATCTATATTGTATTTTTATGAACTTGTTTTTGATGCAAAGTAAGGGTAATAAGTGGTGTTATTAGTTAATTAACGGTTGATTTAACTTGTTGTAAAAAACCAAATTTTTAGCTAATTATCCAGGTCTTCACACAGTCCTTGGCAAACTGTTAACACAATACTTGTCGGTAAAGTGTCCTGTCGGTAAAGTGTCTTGTCGGTAAAGTGTCCTGTCGGTAAAGTGTCTTGTCGGTAAAGTGGATGTCGGTAAAGTGTCCTGTCGGTAAAGTGGGTGTCGGTAAAGTGTCCTGGTCCGTACAATGTATCTATATTTGTTCATTAGTTGTGCTTGCAGTAATTGTAGTTCGAAAGATAATTGTTTTGGGAAGCATATAAATTTTTTGCTGTCTTCCACCACTTTCATTTACTCCCACAAAAACTAAACATCAACATTCCTAATAAATAATATAAAAATTAGATGATTTTTTTAAGCGTGTAACTTTAAATTTTTAAATATAAAAATGAGTTTGCTTGTAGCAACATTAAATTGATTAAATATTACGATGTTGGATCCAAGAACGAAGCCTACATTAATAATATTTTGTTTTCCAAAAGAAGGTTTTTTAGATCGTTATTATTTTAGATTATTCATGGGAACACTTTTTTTCTTCTAATCGTTTTCACAAACGTTCAGTTACGCATTATTTTAAGGCTAGTTAAACCCAAAAAAATAATTCCTTTGTAATCAACCATACTTTTAAATATTATGTAAAAAGAACTAGAAAAGTTGTAGCCAAGGACGAGGCGAAAGAAGAATAATTTCTGCATGGGATTATACTTTCGGGTTGACTATTTCCGATTATCTTTCGTGGGGGGGGGGAGTGAAAATAAAACAATCATTTATTATTTATTATAATGATTTTTTTCAAACAGACTTGTTTCAACTTGTTTATATGTGATCATTATCATCATTCTAATTTTCATATAAAGATTAGTGATTTCTCGATGTCTTTTTATTGTAAAATATGATTCTCACATTTACCTTATCCGATAAAATTTTAAGCCAACGTGTAAACACAGATCAGCAGCGTCACTTAACCAGTTATAATTATTAATGGTTCAAAAGTTCAAAAACCGGTTAAACCACCAACATTATAAAGAACAAACTAGTGATCGGGCGTTTGCTATGAACGAAACTAATACGAGTAATATTACATAATAGCAACAATAAATACAATGACAATGACATCACATTTGGACGAGAAACGGCAATAATAATAATAATAATAAAAGAACGATGGTGTTTCACCTGGTGAAAAAAGTTAGTAGCCTTAAGAAAAATAGCATGATTCTGATACACAAATATATTACTATCAGGATATATATACTGTATTTGCCATTATAATCGACATATAAACTGCAAATTTTTAAAATTTTTACCATCCTTAATACATACATTATTGATTGGTAGTAAAACGTTGTGTTTAAGTTTTTTTTCCCTCAAAAAAAAAAAAAAAATTTTTTTTAACTTTAATTGTTCAATTGCATATATGCGGAAAGAATGTGCGACAATTTAAAAGAGGTATTAGTAGGTATATAATAATATGATAGTCTTCTATTTTAAAATTTTTAATTAATCTATACTATTTATATCCTATAGTTTAATATATCAAATATTAATTAACAGGATATTAATATTAAATTAAATTTATATACCACAAGTTAATACTAACCATCCTTGACTTTTACAAACTAACTGTTTAATCTTTTAAAATTAATTAATTTTAAATAAGATTTGATTAACATATTTGTTGTTTCTATAAATAGACTATGTATATATTGATTTGATTGTATTCTTTGAAGACAAAGTAGGGGTGATGATTTGTAAAACTGTATCACATTTTTTTGTTACACGAATTAATTCCTTCGAGGTTCAATGTAATAGGTTAACAGTACAGTATTTTCTTGTCCAAATACAACTCAAAAGAAACGATGTCAGCACCTTTATTCTTTCCCAACCCCAAAATTTAGGACTTTGGCTATCAGCCTTAATTTCAAGTAAAACTCACTGATATCATATTTTAATTCGGGTATTTTGAGGATTGAGTAATCGTCACTCTCTCTTCCCCATCCTGTTGTTATCTAATGACAATTGACGACTGACTGTAATTCGCCTTTTTTAAATTTTTTAAAGTTTTCCTTTTTTGCACTAATTCATGTAAATTCTTCGGATCCAATCTTTTTATATCAATATTAGCTACTGCTAAGCATTCGTTATATGCCCAGCGAGCAACTTTAAATTAGAACTTCTCGACGGTGGGTTTTTTAAAAGAAGATCAAGTTAATGATGAAATTACACCTTCTTTTTCCATATGCCATTCTAGTAAAAGGGGGATATTGTATGGTTCAAATTATAAAGTATTGGTTCAGTTGAACCAACTGCAACAATGTATGTCTTTATAAAGTTGATTTTGATAATGAATTCACGGTCGACGGAGGAAGATTGCACGAACTTTAAAATTCTGTTTGTTTTTAAAGAATAAATTTTCTTTTAATAGAATAAAAAAAAGTACAAGTGAATTTGTTTTACGTCAAAAATTAAACTTTGGTAAAGATTTACATCAATGACCAATAAATCAAATTAAAAAGACATGATTTCTAAAAATATTTTGTAATAATCAACAATGTTTTTTAACGGCTCATGTAAGTATGGGCAATAACTTGATATTGAATGCATGTTATTTATATATTTTGTGGGTGACACTTATCTACCTGTGACATATTGCTGTATGTACAACTGAATTGTTAACCATACAAAAAACTCGGTTTTTTTATTTAATGCATAATTTTTTTAATCCATCGACTATTTATTTCTAGAGGAACCATCCATGTTAATACCCCCCTTCTTTTTCTCTCTTTTTTTAAATTATAATATTTTTTATTAAAAAAAAAAATCAAAGAAAATCGAGAGGAAGAAAAGGTGAAATAGAATAAATAGAATATCAATATATATAATAAAGAAAAAGCACCATTAATAATTTAATAAATAATGGCTCGGAAAAAAGATAAAACTGCTACTGGTGATGGTAGTGGTGAAGATAAAGTAGACCTTACCACAATACAACAACCAATCTCCATAGATATTATAACATCAACGCTAAGAGAGCGTTATCAACATGACTTGATTTATACTCGAATAAATTCTTCCGCACTAGTTTCAATAAATCCTTACAAAATATTGCCCCTTTTTAATGATTCAACTGTACAAGAGTATGTTGCTGATTATAAAGACTCCTCGGGACAAAGAACTTCACCACCCCCGCACGCTTTTCAAATTGCTTCTCAAGCATATTTACATATGCGAAGAACTGCTGAAGATCAATCTATCATATTAATGTAAGTAAGAAACAAATAAAGATAAAGTTTGCTATTATTATTTTTATAGCATTTGTTTGTTTGTTATTACAAAAAGCAAAAAGGAAAATAATGAATTGATGTTCAAAATTTGTTGATCTTTGTTCTCATAAAAACCAATTGATTATGAAAATTCTTTTTCATTGGTTTTATTAATTCTTTCCTAGAATTCATATACATATAACACATGCGCATGCATGTATGAATTTACATATATATCAGATCATATATTAATTAATTTCTATTTATTTTTTTTTTTTTAATTATATTTAGCGGTGAATCTGGTAGTGGTAAATCAGAAGTTCGTAAACTTTTAGTTAAAGAACTCATTGCATTAAGCTCACATCAAAAAAAAGAATCAAGAATTCAAAATCAAGTTCCTGCTTCAGAGTTCATTTTGGAATCATTCGGTAATGCAAAAACATTAATAAATAACAATGCATCACGCTTCGGTAAATACACCGAATTACAATTCAATGAACGTGGTAGGCTAATTGGTGCAAAAACTCTTGATTACCTACTGGAAAAAACCCGTGTTTCAAATGTACCTGCAAGTGAAAAGAATTTTCATGTATTTTATTATCTGATCGCCGGTGCTTCAAATGATGAAAAGTCTCATCTACATCTAACGACAACTGATGCCTCACAATATCGTTATCTCAATCTATCAAAATCAACTTCAAAAGCCTACAATAACATTAATGCTGATGAAGCAAGTAAATTCAGTGAATTAAAACAATCATTAAAATCTTTAGGTTTTCATAAAAAACATGTTGCTCAAATGTTCCAACTACTGGCTGCTATATTGCATCTTGGCAACATTCAATTTTCCCAAGATCCTAATAAACAACAAGATGCTGCCTTTGTTAAAAATATGGACGTTTTGGATTTGGTTGCTGACTTTCTAGGTGTAGAGCCTCGTGCTTTAGAATCTGCTCTTACTTATAAAACAAAATTAATCAAAAAAGAAATATGCACCATTTTTCTGGATATTGAAGCTGCATCCGTACAAAGAGATGAATTGGCAAAAGCTCTTTATTCCTTACTGTTTAGTTGGATAGTCGAATACATCAACACTAAAATTTGTCATGAAGATTTTGCCAGCTTCATCGGTATTGTCGATCTAATTGGTTTTCAAAATGCATCAACCAATTCCTTGGATCAATTCTGTGTTAATTTTGCAAATGAAAAAATTTATAATTTCACTTTACAACAAATTTTTGAAGTGAATAATGCCGAATATGTAGATCAAGGAATTGGTGATGTTGTTATATCTGAGGTACCCTATTTTGACAACTCTGAATGTTTGAAAATGTTGGACAAACCTTCAACTGGTCTGGTAGCTATAATGAACGATCAAGCAAACAAATCACCTCGCAAAACAGATCAATCAATGCTGGATGCTTTCAACAAAAAATATTCTAAACATAACTCCTACACCGCCACTGCAAAAAGTTTAAACGCCCTACCGAGATTTGGCATACAACATTACACATCGCAAGTCACATATGATATTACCGGTTTTATGGAAAAAAATCTTGATAATCTAAGTGGTGATTTTGTTTCTTTGTTCCGTGGCAATGGTGAAGCACCTCCTTCATACAATAGTTTCATTGTCGGTCTTTTTACTGATAAATCTGTTGCAACAGAGTCACATCCACAAAATGATAACACCATAGTTGCTGCTCAACAATCTGTCAAACCTATGAGAGCCCCTTCAATGCGTCGTAAAAAAAGCAAAAAAAGGTCACCAATCACAATTGAAGATACCACAGTTGATGATGTCGATGATACATCAAAAAAAACTGTAAACTGTGTTACAGCCCAAGTTCAATCAGCTTTGGATGAACTATGTGAAACTTTATATGAAACAACTCCTTTATTCATATTTTGCATTCGTCCAAATGACACACAGCTTCCAAACCAGGTTGACTCAAAAGTTCTACTATCACAAGTAAAATCTCTTGGTTTATCAGAAATAACAAATCGATTAAAAATTAATTACACCATTGGTTTAACACACGAAGAATTTTTGGAAAGATATCAGCCTATATTGGATTCAATGAATTTAAACCAGTCCCGTGATCCAAAAGCTAAAGTTGAAGCATCATGTACTATTTTTGGTTGGGATCACATTGATATGATTGTTGGGAATCAAAAAACTTATTTGAGTGAGAATGCTTGGCGTAATTTAGAAGATAATTTGAGAAGTATGGATGTCGAAGAAAGAAAAAAGAAAAGCAAGAAAACTAGTCGTAACAATAATAATAAAAAACATGACGATGAATCATCACAATTTTCAAAACAAGATTTTAGTGAAATTGGTCATCATCCCTCACCACAAAAAAGTCCTGATGAACAATCTTACTATTCAAATGATGATCGATCATACATATCAGAAGATGAGAGTTATCAAGAAGAAGCCTTCAGCCAGTACAATGAGACTGCCTCTGTTTGTGGTTCAGATATATATGCACCATCACGCAACATGTTTATGGAAATGAAAAAATTGCCTACCGAAGAGAAAGCTGCTGCTGTTATTGAAGAAGAGGAGGAGCCAAAGAAGATGACTTCAGCTCGTAGAAAATGGTTAATACTTACTTGGTTGCTTACTTGGTGGGCGCCCCCATGTTTCTTATCATGGTTTGGTGGTATGAAACGTAAAGACATTCAGATGGCATGGCGAGAAAAAGTTGCGTTGTGCCTGCTCATCCTTTTCATGTCTTGTGTATTTGTTTTCATATTGGCTGTGCTGGGTCAGCTCGTATGTCCACGTGTGTTCATTTTTGATGATGCAGAATTGGCTGACCATTCTTTTGAAAATAATAATAACAATGCATTTGTAGAAATTCGTGGCGAAATCTATTCCTTATCAGAATTTGCTCCACTCCACATCCCATCATTCATTGATCAAAAAACTTTGATGTCGTTTAGTGGTCTGGACGCTTCCGATTTATTCCCCGTGCAGATTAGTGCTTTGTGTGTTGGAGTTGGAGTTTCTCCATCAGTTACAATGGCCAACGGTACAGCAACTAATCCATTCGCAAAGTATCACGATTTTCGTTATTACACTGATGACTATCGTCCTGATTGGTACGAGGAGGAGATATTGATTAGAATGAGGGATAAGCATCTTGTTGGTCAAAAAGGTCTTTCACCTTCCACAATCAGTGACCTAGCATTCTCAAAAGGTAGAAATGTCGCAGTCATACATGACGATGTTTTTGATTTGACTTCTTATGTAACTGGTGGAAGACTTTCAATAGGTCCAGATGGTCAACCTGTTGAGGCAAATACAGATTTTATTAATGGATTGATTCAAGATTTGTTTGTAGGGAGTAAAGGAAGTGATATCAGTAAACAATTCGATGCGTTAGAACTTGATCCACAACTCAAGTCTGATCAGTTGAATTGTATAAAAAAATTATTTTACATTGGCAAAGTTGATCATCGTAATTCAGCACAATGTCTTTTCTCGAGGTATGTTTTGCTTGCATTTTCCACAGCAATTGTGGCAGTTATAGGATTCAAATTTTTGGCAGCTTTGCAACTAGGCACAAAACGTGAACCAGAAGAACATGATAAATTTGTTATTTGTCAAGTACCATGTTACACTGAAAGTGAGGATTCAATGAAAAAAACATTGGATTCATTGGCAATATTGAAATATGATGATAAAAGGAAATTGTTGTTTATAGTTTGTGATGGTATGATTGTTGGTAGTGGAAATGATAGACCCACACCACGTATTGTTTTGGACTTACTGGGAGTAGATCCAAACTTGGATCCTGAACCATTAAGCTTTTTGTCATTGGGTGATGGGGCTAAACAACATAATATGGGCAAGATATATTCGGGATTGTATGAGTGTAATGGACATGTGGTACCATATCTTGTTGTTGTCAAAATGGGTAAACCAACTGAACGATCAAGGCCTGGTAATCGTGGTAAACGGGACTCGCAAATGATATTGATGAAATTTTTGAATAAAGTCCATTTCAATTCAGAGATGACACCGTTGGAATTGGAGATGTATCATCAAATCAAGTATGTGATAGGTGTGAATCCAAGTTTCTACGAGTATGTGCTTATGGTTGATGCCGATACAGAGGTTATGCCCGATTCATTGAATCTATTGGTTTCAGCATTTATACATGATACAAGGGTCATGGGATTATGTGGCGAGACAACATTAGCAAATGAGAAGAAATCATGGGTCACTATGATACAAGTTTACGAATATTTCATATCACATCATCTTGCAAAAGCTTTTGAATCATTGTTTGGTAGTGTGACATGTTTACCGGGATGTTTTTGTATGTATCGAGTGAGAACACCAGACTCGCATAAACCATTACTGATTAGTAATCAAGTTATTGAGGACTATTCAGAGAATATAGTTGACACATTGCACAAAAAAAATTTATTACATTTGGGTGAAGATCGATACATGACCACGTTGATGATGAAACACTTTCCAAATTATAAAATGACATTTGTACCGGATGCACAATGTAAAACCACAGCACCTGATCAATGGTCTGTATTGATATCACAACGTCGTAGATGGATCAATTCCACAGTACATAATTTGATGGAATTGGTGTATTTGCCACAACTTTGTGGATTCTGTTGTTTCTCAATGAGATTTGTGGTGATGCTTGATTTGTTTGCAACACTTATAATGCCAGCAACCATATTATATATGGGATATCTGATTTACACAATTATCAAAGATCCATCAACAATACCAATTACATCAATAATGTTGTTAGCCGCTGTTTATGGACTACAAGCTGTAATCTTTATATTTAGGAAGAAATGGGAACATGTCGGATGGATGATAGTGTATATAATTGCAATGCCTGTTTTTTCATTTTACTTGCCAATTTATGCATTTTGGCATTTTGATGATTTCTCATGGGGTAATACACGTATGGTGGTCGGTGAGAAGGGCAAGAAGATGTTGTTGACAGATGAGGGAAAATTTGATCCAAAAAGTATTCCGAAAAAGAAATGGTCAGATTATGAACAAGAGTTGTGGGAAGTCAATACAGAAGGGTCACAAGAATCAGAACGTTCAAGGGTTTCAGATAGATCATCTAAAAGTAATAGAAGCAATAGAAGTAGATCTAACACTTATAATAGTATTAATAATTATAATCCTAATAGCATTTTTAACGCTGGTGTTTATAATGGTGGTAGTAGACCTGGTTCACGTGCTGGGTCTACATATGGAAAACCACAAAGATATTAGAAAATTAAGAAAAAAAAACAATTTATTTTTTAATATTATTAAATTATTTAAATTATTTTTCGTAAACATAAATAGATAGATTAATCTTTTTGTATAATTTTAATTTAATATTATTTTTTTTTTTTTAAAAAAAATTACATTTCACAAGATGTGTATAATATAATAAACAAACTAAAATTTTTTAGTATTTAACAAATTTAATCATCATAATTGCTAGTTAGTAATGTCAAAATTGTGATGTTAACCAATTTGATCTCTACAGTACACTACATCCATATATTATCAATATTTATATTAGAGCTCACGGGTCTTAATATGGTTGCACAAAAAGAATTCTGTAACGGTCTTTTTTGAAAGCATATGCCTTTTCAGAGGGGTTCCTTAATATATTTTTCTTTATATTTTTGAATTTTTCTTTGTTAAATATTCATATTTAAAAAATGATTTTGTTCCGCGATAACTATTATTTTAATATTAAATGGCTGTGGCAAAAGGAAGGAAGAGCTTTCGAATTAAAAATTCAAAATGAATTTAACAGAAACGAAGTAGACATTTGTAGAACTGTGCGAGTATTCTTTTTTATCCACCAAGTAGTTGAGCTATTATGTATCTTGATTTTCATATACCAAGATTTCTACGGGGGACGCCTTTAGGGAAATACTGTTGTGCTATATACTAGGATTTAAAAATCAAAAGAATTGAAAAGTCCAACGTGGCACATTACTTTGTAATGGAACGTTTCTTCTTTTATCTGAAACGCTGCTGACCCTGTGTCGGAGCTTGTAGTATATAATATACATGAAAAAAAATAAAAGCTCATCGTGGCCATAACTTGTGAAAGTTACCAGTCAGGTTCCGGTCCTGGCGTACGGCGGGCGACCTGTTATGAACGTTTATTTACTTCTTGATAGCGATGAGATTACTTACCTTTTTTTTATATATTTAGACATAATTAGATTTGTTTGGAGTATTTGAATATAAATTAAAAATGTCATAATTGTTCAATGCAAGGTTATTATTATTAAACTTGGTCACGTGAAATTCGCGAATTTGGTGATGTAATAGCTAAATGGTCAAGAATTCCTTTGAATAATATCATGACTTGATAAATTTTATTAAAGAAGTAGGATCATTAAACATCCAAAATAATTTAAAAGAAAGAGAGAAGGAAAATAAAGCCAAATATACTCACGAACTTCTTTCTGAAAAAGTAGATCGCGGAAGATCAAGGTTAGGGAACATTCTCAAAGCGAGAAGTATTGGTATGATAATTGACAATTACTTTTAATCAAATGTAAAACATGATATTTTACTAAATCATATATTTAAAAACTTTTTTTTTAAACATGTGATTATAGTGTTTGTTGTTTTACCGTCGATCAATGCAAAAAGATACTTAAAGTTATGATTTTATTCAATTTCAATTCTCGAAGATGCTCTGTAATAATTATATATAGGCCTTCGTAATACCAAACATATCTTGGGGTTTTTAGGAATCCTGATCTACGATTTTCTGACGAAGGCTCAAGATATTTCACGACACAAAATTTCACATTTATGTAGACATAGACATCAGTTATTTTGATTTTTAATTTCGCAAGTGACCAATATCCATTACCTGATACAATTTATAATGAACATATTTATTATTACAATTGGATTATAATATAAGAAAATCAATTGCGGATTAGATTCCAAAGCGCATTTTAGAATTAGAAGCCTAATATCATTTATTTGATTTATAATTGCTTCGCATCTACTCCGTGGCCATACTATTTATATAACACTTCGATATCCCTGAGGGCTGATATCTTTTTTATTTTTCCGTAATATATAATTTAGCTTTTTTCCGCTTCATGCATATAGTATAGAAACAATAGATTTGATTCTTTTCGATTTTTATTACAAGATTTTTAGATATTAATGAAATGTAGCTGATAAATTATATTATCAGCAGAAATAAACAAACTTATTTTATATTATAATCATGTGATACAATAATTTTATTTGAATTAAAGAAAAAAAAAATATTTCTGCCACATCAGACCTACCTGATAGCAAGAACAAAACGCGCATTAAAAACGTAATGAATACATACAAGAAAATTGCTTGTTACACGCTATCGCAAAGAAAACAAGCCTTGGCTTGAGAACAAATTTTCGACTTGATAAACCCATATTAAGTAAAACCTAAAAACCGTTCGCTGGTAAAGGCTTATTTAGCCTAATCCATTCAATTTATCAATTATTTCGCTCTCCCAGATAATAATGGTTATAATAACAATAACAATAACAACAATAACAGTAATAATTGTCATAAACATCAATAAATACGAATCAATAAATATTAAAAACATTTCAAAATTTACCTTATTACTCATAGTATCATTATACTTGTTACAAATTCATGTTTCTCGGGATTATGAAATATTATAAAAACCTACCAAACGATGGCCACCAACCACCAACAAGACAATTCTTTTCGATAAACTGGAAGAACGTCAAAGAAACCAGTAATAAGAAAGAAAACGGATAATCGAAACAAAAATTTGGAACAGAAGAAAGGGAATATTTAAAAATTCATAAATTAATGTTAGGATCATCCAATGATCAAAGAAATGGGTGTTAAAAGGAATTCAAAAGGGTATAGGCCCACAGTTCTACTTTTACTGAGAGAAAAGAGAGACTGACAAGAGAAAAGCAAGGAAGGATCAACTCTAGGCCAAGAGGATCGAAGAACTACAAAACAAAATTTATATAAAAAGAAACGATGAAAAATGTGAACGATATAACAATATAACAATATAACAATAAAACAATGTAAAAACTTAGCGAATTTCCAAGAAAAGCCCATAGAAGTTCCGACTAAAGAAATAAGTACATAAAAATATTAGTAAAATGAAAATAAAGAAAATGACAACAAAATAATAATAAAATAATCCCGAGAACATTTCAAAATTAAAGGAAAGAAAGAAAAAATTGATAACAACAAATTTTCATGAGAAAAAAAAAAACAAAAAAAAAAATAACAACATTTCAATAAATATCATATGTATATATATTAATAAAATGGTACTTTCTAGAAAGATCTGCTTTTTTTTCTTTAATATATCTCTATATGGATACAGTCAGAACTAACTTGTTAAGACGATGTTTGATAAACGAATATACATGATTACTTCGGTTTAGAGTTCTGACTGTATTGGGAGAGATTAACATCATTATTCCCTTCTTTAAGGGCGTGTAGATTTTTAATTATTATCATATGGACAGTGAATGAGTGAACTGTGTCCTAAAGAATTAATTGTTCTCGTGGCTCAAATAGTAGGTTTAATCTTTGTGTCAATTCCAAATGAGGGAAAAATAAGGAACAATGATCTCATTAATACATCAATATTTAATGTTGAAAATAGACAAATTGGTTACACAACTTTATTTATGAACACCCAAATAAAAAAAATTCGAAAAATATTTTAATGAAAATAAAAGATTATTAAACACTGATGTAAAAAATGCGTTTTTGTGTAGTTAATGCACATGCATCTATTGTATCTTCTCATTGTCCATTTTTAGCAATGCATTAAACGATCAACAAAAGAAGTGGATATCTATCATATTAATATTGTCAAAATGTTTCAAACCATAAACTCGGATAAGTCGGACGCACCAATCAATTGTAAATTATCAGGTAGGTCTATATTATAATCATGTGATACAATCAGCCGTTTAATAATAATATATTTGAATTAAAATTATTTCTGCCAGTACTTTTCCGGTGACCGACCTGATAACAAGAACAAATTCTAACGCCCAAAAAAGGCACACGATATTTTATTTATGTATAAACATATAGATTATTGACTTTAAATACTGATATCACCTGCATTTTCTTGAAAAGCTTTAATAACAGTCTAGTAAGTAGGTAGCAGTCTCGAAGTACGACGCAAATGCAAACTCGTCGTACCTAAAAATACGATACAAATGCGAACCAATCGTAATTCCTAGTAAATACATAGTCTAGCTAAGTAGTAGTTACATAATCCATTAGATTAACTACTACTCGATTGATCTTACATGAAAAAGAACTCTTAATTGTTAATTAATAAAAAAAAAAGGGACGACAAATAATGTCATTTCCAAGATAATTACAACAATTATTATTTACAATTTTTACATATGATATATAATAAATTTGTTAACACGTCAAATTTTCATACTTGTTAATCGGGAATAAACATTTTAATAAACCAGATAAATCAATTATTGAATTACTCGAAATAATCAAGTTTGCAAGTAGATTAATCACTGAAAAACATTTATTATACATAGAGGATGGCTTAAGAACTATAGTTGTAATCGGTGTATGGAATTCAGTTGGGGAGATAGTGCAATATAAAAAACCAGCAGAATAGATATCAATAGATAATGATACATTTAATTTTAATAACAAAAAACATGCACAACTAAATTTGCATTATGACGAATTCCATATACTGGTTGTAATAGATACTTAAATACATTATGTTCAAGAGGAATCATAAGTTAGCATTTTAGAAAATTACAAATATTATGGATAGGCTAATTTATCTTTCTTCCACCCGATGCACTCAACCCGGTTCCAATCCCTAATTTATTAATATCTTCCTTTTTTTTTTATAAATGGTTTTTTTTTTTAATTAGTTGTAGTTAGATAACAAGATGGATTGGATAGTTGGATTGAACATTTTTTTGGATATATGAAAACCGTTTGTTGCGTTGTTTACTCCAGATTATTCAAAACCCGCGCCACGCGCGTAATAAAAAATCACGAATGTCATTCACTGAAAGAACCTGAAATTATCAACGGAGAAGATGAAGGAGAAAAATATATTGCATTACTTTTATTTTCTATTATAATAAAATTCAAGGAAATCACAATTATTTGTAGGAGAATTTACAATGACAAAGTTTCATGAAGCTCCTGTACCGTAAAATGTTCCTAAATGGTAGAATAACTATAATATAAATCTTCAATTTCAAGTAATAATCATATTGAACTGAATGTTATGATGAAAAGATCCAAATCACGGCCTCAATATATAAGCAAAGTTTCTTTCAAATTATTTACTCAAAAGCTCAAACATGCTCATTAAAATCATTTTCTTCCTCTTTATATTAATGGTAACACTATGACAATTTGTATATTACAACTGTTTCCAGTAAATAATATATATTTATTAATGGATAATATAAACAGATATGAAATTATTTTTTCACAATTAAATTGAGAGAGCTCATTGTATAATTTTTAAATAAGAATATCCAAGCAATTGACTAGATCTGTTGTATCATAGCGCGCTTCTTTTGGCATTCCAACAAGTTTCAAAATACCATCTACAATTACAAAAAATCGGAATGGCCAAGGTGAATATAACTTCAAAAAAATATTATCCATTGTATCAGCCAGCACAGGAATCTTCAGATTAGTAGCTTTAACCATCTCATGTGCAGCTGCTAATCGTTCTTCCAATGTACGGTGCTCTTTAACATCAACGATATTACCAATTGGCCAAACATCACTGGCATGTGCTTCACGAATTTGAATCATGTAGAAGTCTGCATTTCCTTGATATTTCTTATAAATGTCATTGAGCACATGAGATATGTAACGATATAAAGGACAAGTGTGTGATCCACCAAGAAGGACAAAAGGTCGTCCTGGTTTATAAAGAGAGTGCAATTGAATTATTTTTGGTGGTGAACTGATAGTTTCAACATTCATTGTTGTAGTGTTTAGGGAAACCAGTGGACAATCAGGCGCTGGCATTCCTTCTTTGAGGTCTCCAACAGAAGCAATGTTGTTGCGAACATATAATTGAGTGTTATAAAATTCAGGATCATCTGAAAAAAATAAAGAAAGAAAATTAATGAATAGTGCTAAGAATAATACAATGACAAAAAAAAAAGGAGAATGTCTTTTCACCTTGATAAAGTTGTGGAGCACGTCTTAATAATTGTACAGCTTCATCAGAGTAACCAAACTCTCGAACCAACTCATATTGCATTTGGTCAGTGACATCCATCCAGTCCTTGCCAGATGTGGGATCGCTTCCAACTTTGTAATATTGTTGTTGCATTTCTGGTGACAGCCTTCGCTTTTCCTCCTCATGTAATAAATTCAACATCTCTTCTTTTGTTGTTGGAAGTATTGGTAATACAGTAACAGGATTAGTTGTGATATCTTTTTTTGTAGTAACTTTTTCATTTACTGGATCCAAGTATTCCACAAAATTATGTTGTTTATCATGAAGCAAGTTGGCCATTTTGATACACTCAAAACACAAGTCATAATCAAAACATGTTGAACAGTTAAACCTATTAGTAAAGCAATACAAGTAAATTGCATTAGTGAAACAAAATAAATATTTTGATAATTTCTAAAAAAAAACTGGCCAAGTTAATTATTTACTTTACCTTGCACCTTTCCATTCTTTTTTACCACAATAATTACAAGCAATACCAACATGAGATTTGCCTTGCATATGTATTTCAGGAACTTGCATCTGCAGATATTGTGTAAGTGGTGGCAATGCACTGAATTCTAGACGTCCACTGGTTTCTTGAAACATTCCTCCACGTAATTTAAGTACAAGATGCAATGTGGACTCCTTTTGAACATTGTAATCACTCAAGGTACGTCCATTTAACATTTGCTTGCCAGCAAAAATCATACATTGGTGATCAGGAGGAATGCCTTCTCTATCTTTTATCTTTTGTTTTATATTATCAATGGTATCACTTTGATCTACCTCCAGAGTAATAGTTCCTCCAGTAATTGTTTTCACAAAAATTTGCATTACTCCAAGTACAAGATCCACTGTGGACTCATTTTGAATATTGTAATCACTCAATGTACATCCATCTTCTAATAGCTTGCCACCAAAAATAAGATGTTGTTGATCAGGGGGGAAATTGGTTTTACCATATATCATTTTTTTTGTAGCATCAATGGTATTACTTGTCTCTACTGACAGATCAATGATTTTTCCAGTTTTTGTTCTCACAAAAATATGATGATCCTTTTTCTTTGGAAATATGTGCAATTCTGATTCTTGTTGTTTTTGAATGTCACAATTTCCCAAGATGCCAACATTATTCAATTGGTTTCCATTAAAAACATGATATTCTGTAATCTCATCAGTTTGTTCCTTTTTCTTTGAAGTCAAGAACAATTTTGACTCCTTTTGAATCTTAAAGTCTTCCATGATGCTAGTATCTTTCAATTCTTTTTCGTCGAATAAAAGAACCTGTTCATAAATAGGAATACCTTTGGAATTCGCAATCATTCTTTTAACATGAATAGCAGTGCTTCTCTCAGTCACATAAAGTTCTATAATTTTACCAGTTTGCATTTCCACATAAATTTTAAATGGAATCAATTTTGTTTCAACCAAGTCTCCTTCCTATTGTAATAATAAAAATAATTATTCACCAACATTACTTATGAGCAAGTCTTTTACATTTCATAAGTATTTTTAAATATAAACACCCACCTTTAATCCTAACTTTTTAAGAGTATCAGCATATTGTATGTCCTGTTCATTATATACAAGTTTATAGTCATATGTTTTTTCTTTTCCAAGATATTCTTTAGTGGACTTCAGCAATAACTCTATAGTAGTGTCCAATGTCACATGTGCTTTATATATAGAGCCCAGGGGAGCTTTAACACGAATAGAAAAAATTGGAGGGAGATTTGGCACAGAAATTAAATGCATTCTTTCGTAAAATTATTTTTTAAAATTGTATTATGTTTTAATTTGTATCCTGATTTATATAAATTACACGTTGCAGTATAATGGATTGATCGATAAATATTTATCTCAAACCTATAATAATGAACCTTACCATATTAATTTTATAATGTTGGTTCAATGAATGCCCTCTTGAATCTGAAAAAGGGTACATTTTAAACATTTCGGCATTTTGACATCAATTTAGATCTGAATATCGAATGACGAAAATTTTCAACAAAAGCTCAAAAAATTTCAACTAACAACTTTATAAAAATTCTATTATTTTTTTAAAATCAAAATTTCTAGATAATACAGAAAATATATATGCAAATTATAAGAACCTAAGCTATCGAAAATATAAACGTTTCTTCCATGTACTATATCCCGAGAACTTTACACAGAGTACATCCCCATAGAGAGTTCATTAAATATAAATTGGTTATTTAAACTTATAATTATGCTACAGCTCTAGCCATCTGTAGGTGGTGGTGCATTGGAGGTCACAAAGTCCATATTCTTTGAGTCATAACTATGGCATGCCATGCTGGACAAAAGTTTACTATATTTTGTTGTAAAAAATTGCAATTATAGATGGGTAAGGCTCCGAACGAATCGAATCGAATTTGAGGGTGATTCGATTCGATTCGATTCGATCTGTAGTAGTAGTCAATTTGATTCAATTCGAATTCAAAAAAAAAGGATTCGAATCGATTCGAACCAAACCAGTTTCCTAAAATTTTTTTAACGTCATATTAAATTTATATTTTTAATTTGATAATTTAAATTTATATTACACAGTGAATCTCAATTAGTGTGCCTCAATTTAATGAATACTAATGGATTGAGGCCTAATAATGGTTTGATGATAATAAAATTCTTCTTGATATGATATTTATTCGAATTTTTAATAATAACGGATTTCTTGATGGTCGTGTGACCTATATTATTAATAATGAGTAAAAAATATAAAATAAAAAATATTTTTGTAAATAAAATTATAAAATATACATTAAAATAAAGATTTTTCATTTATTATATATAATGTATTTGATTCAAATCATGTATTCAAATCAGTTATTATTATAGATTCGAACCAGTCAAATCAAAATCAGTTCAAATCAAATTATATATTCTTGAATCAAATTATATATATATTTGAATCAGTTTGAATTGAATCAAATCAAAGTACAATTCAGATTTGATTCGAATTTGATTTGAATAAAACAAATCAAAAATTAAGTGATTCAATTCAATTTGAATTGGTTTGAATTTCATAAATTGTTTTCAGGTTTGACAATCATGACTAAACCAATATTTAGACTTTAGACATTTTGACAAGCCTGAAAAAAATTAGACACCCATCTATAATTGCAACAAAATGTAGTGTACTTTCATCCAGCATGGTGTGCCATAGAAGCATCATTCTATTATTAATTGGTTGATTGATTATTGTTTATTAACTAACTAAAAAGGCCAATAAACATTTTTACTATAGTTGGCTCAGTCTAAAGACCTCCTAAATTTTGGGCAAATTTTAAAAGTATAGAAGTCACTTCCTGTCCTACCTTTTAAAAAAATAG